GTCAAATTTCTCCCTATCCTAAGTAGCCACTCCTCGGGGAAGGCTCTCACCTTGTCTGTCGCTTTTCAGCCAATTCCCCAAATTATTCCTGGTGGACTTATACGACACTGGCTCACCCACATTATTGTCAGTTTTGACAGCCTAAGGCATTGAAACATAAACCATGGTTGACTTGAGCTAGTCTTTAGCTATTCAATCAGGGGGTATAATCATCAAGTCGTGCTTTTAGTGTTATCAATATATATCCTAAATAGCGTGAACCTATATGATTATTAATGTAGAAATGTTGCATATTTTAAGGGGATATATTTTTGCATATATCTATTTTTACTCCGCCAAGAGGTTGGCATTGGAGGTTAATGTTTTCAACCGGCGTTGTGTGTTTGTTTTCGTTTGAGGTTTGTTCGTTTTGTGGCGTTGTAACATCCGTTTCTTTGGTGTACAGGCCGTAACTTGAAAAATTATGGACAGTTTGTCATAAAATTTTTCAGGATAGGTCACATGGGCTAACTTAGAATTGATTTCAGGATTTTAATGGTGATCCCGATTCAATAATTAGATTAATTAATTAATTATACCAATTTCTAGGTAGAGTCAGAAATTGGTGGTTAACTTAGCAATTGATTAACATTTTTGTGGTGATCCGGATCCAATTAATTAATTAATATTAATTTAATTAATTAATTAAAATTTCAGATAAGTCAGAAATGTGGTTAACTTGAATGATTAGCATTTGGTGGTGATCAGGATCCAATCCAATTATTCTGATTTATTAATATAATTAATTAAATATTTTCACGCAGTGACAAGAATTCAGCTGGCTTGTGCGGAGGTCTGCCGGCTCTCCGAGTGCTCTAGTTGTTTTGGTATAGTTTCAAGTTGAGGTTAAATAATTCATTATACCTTGCATCCATGGCCACATAACACTAGAGTTCATATCAATTCAGTCGCTGAATACTGCACTCCGCCAATGTCTGGAAACTCACTCTGGTCGGATCGGATAAACACCGGCAAATACCGTGAATATTTTACAACAAGCAAATAATAGAATTTAATACTCCCCTCATTTAACAAAACGCCACCTCTTATCATTGCAGCAGTTAATCTAGACATTGCGTTGCCTAACAAGAAACTTTTTTGGTTTTTGATGTGACAAGCTACTAATAACGATTCAATACGTGCCCGGTCCCAACTACGGTTACCATTGGCTTTGCAGGTTGTAAATAATACCATGTATTGCTTCCACAGGCTTTCCTTGTAGAAGAAAGGTCACCACACATGCCTCACTCGCATTCTTCATGTTTCACAAGTGATGAAGGCCAATCTCGTCCTGGCAATAGCCTGTGGCGAAGATCAATACAGAAAATTGATTAGATGAACCGAGCCGATGCTAGCTAGTGTTAAACTCTTACAAACATCGTTACTATATAGACGCATTGTTAGCAGCCAGACCATTATAGTGAATGATCACATGTTCAGAGCAGCATTAAAAACCAACAGGATTGAAGCCTCCTGCAACAAGTAGGAAGCAATCGGACGAATGAGACAATAATAAAAAGAGCATGCCACTACAAATAACTGGGTGATAATAAACATTGTATGCTCGCTCTGCTATCGCGATCTCTGTTTCGGCCTCCATCTCTCTCCCTTTCTTTCCCCCCCACCCCCTTCTCTCTCTCTCTCTCCCCTCCTCTTTCTTTCTCTCTCCCTCTCTCTCTCTCATTCTCTCTCTCTTCTCTCTCTCTCTCTCTCTCTCTCTCGTCTCTCTTCCTCTCTCCCTCTGAGTCTCTGCATCTCCTCTCTTTCTCTCTCACTCTCTTTCTCTCTCTCTCTTTTTCTCTCTTTCTCCCTCTTTCTCTCTCTCTCTCTCTCTCTCTCTCTCTCTCTCGCCCTGTCCTCTCTCTCCTTTCTATCTCTCTCTGCTCTCTTTCTCTCTTGCTCTCTCTCTCTCTTCTCTCTCTCTCTTCTCTCTCGCTCGCTTCTCTCTCTCTTTTTTCTCTACATCTCTCTCTCTCTCTCTCTCTCTCTCTCTCTCTCTCTCCCTCTCTTTCTCGCTCTCTCTCCCTCTCTATGCATCTCTCTACTCCCCACTCTTTCTCATAGCTGCACACCTACAGTGAATTAACCAGCTCCTCCTGGGGACGCATGACTCCAAGCTTCTGCACCTCATAGTTCTTCTGCGTGAATGCGAAGGTCACGCGATCGCCGACCTTGACCTGACCATCGAGGATCGCCGCGTTTGCTATCACGCCCTTGTAGCGGTCATAGGAGGAGTCGAACACCAGGGCCTTCAGCGGTGAAAGCATGTCTGCCCTGGGGCTGCATTAGGGAACTACGCTGATATTGTGCAGCAGGCCCACTCATGTATTATAACTTGTATTCACACACAATTAATATTCTTCATCATTCTGTTACGGATAATACGTGCAAATAGACCTTTGATGTTAATTCCTGCCCGTCTATTATTGTTTGCTGTTGTTTAATGTGAAAGAAATCGTGTAAATTTATCGCAGATATGGTAAAACACAAGTAGACACATGAATTACATCCACATGTCCCAGAAACTACCCTATTCCTCTGTATGCCCTGTACTCGAGTCTCAGACCGTGAACATTTCATTTCAATAAAGATATACATATACATATACATATACATATACATATACATATACATACGGTGGGATCCTTTCGATAATTTCATGAAGCAGTTCTTCAACTCCCATGCCAAGTTTTGCTGAAACCTATAATAATAACAAATAGCTGGTTCAGATATGAGGACAATCACATCAATTCATCGCTTATTCCCAAAATTATTACAGATATTATATTGCAGCTTTGGCTTACAAATAACTCTTCATTCATACGATAACGATTCATCTAAGTGTATCTTTAACCTAGTGTGACCTATCTGCCGAACATAATTGACAATTAGCTCTACCCAATCGTTGTCATGATAGGATGTTCTAAAGACAAACCTTGACAGCAAAGTGCAAAACAGTCAACATTTTGGCATGCACACATGACAGATATAAACGAGAAACTCATCAAGCTTAACTGCCCTAGCTACAATATCAAAGGAGGGCAAGGTTATCTCACTTAGATGGATAGCTTAATTGTTTCGCAGCAAGATTTATCTCCCATATATTTCATCAAATCAGAGATGACTCAAGCTGTGAGAATATAGGGTATATTGACACTATACTGCTATATGTATGTATATATGCCAGAAACCAGAAAATCGTAAAACAAGATAAATACAAGATTGAAAACTGGTGCAAAGTTCTTGGGTAGAAAACAGTACTTTCTAATAATAGGTCTATAACTAGTTAAATATGACAAAACTAAATAAATTACAAGTAGGATAAGTCTGGCAGTCAAACAACATACCAGGAGAATCTCTTCACGACTCATGTCAAAGACGGTCTTCATTTGTGCAATACACATC